CGCTTCAGCTTCCACTCTCCGCACAAACGATTGGATATGCGCCTAATAGCGCACATTTATATAGGTTAAATGTTTAAACTAACATTGTGATATGCTTTAAGTATTTTATATCTATAGATTTTATTTTCGGCAAGTCGTAATTACAACATCGTATGACATTGTCTCATATGATGCTCATAAGTTTCTTCATATTGCATTAGTATCTGACAACACCAAATCAGTAAAAGAATAAAAATTGCACTACGAAAGATCTCCATGATTAGCCTGTTTTTGCACTTCCTGAATGGATAACCTTAGCACACGAGTGGTTTTGTTTACAATTCTGGTTCACTTGTAAAAAAAGGGCAGTGTGAAAGCGCAACGCACCAAACAAAAAAAAATCTAAATTGTATTTGGTCCGGACCAAAGCAAGTGAACTAGAGGACTTTCCTTGTGTGAATACACCCTTAGTTACCAGCCCAGATTTTTTTAATAACTCAAGTCACACTGTTAAAGATATACCAAAAGACAAAACCAAAGTTAGAATGTGAAAAAATGGTGATTTCATAAATAATCTACATAATACACTAACACAAGCAAGACGCTGATAAAGCCTTATTTGACTCATCCTCTAATGTGTTTTGACTCATTGCAACGACATTTAGTTCTTTCCTCTCAGCTAATGCTCTCCTGAGGTGTCGCCGTTCTGGCAGCACAATCTATTTCTACACGCAGCGCGATTAAACTCAGGGAAATAGTTTATTAGCAGTGCTTCAGAGGGGCCATGAGCCACAATAATGGAGCTAACGCACTGTGCTACAAAATATCCCTCAGTGCCGCTCCAATCTATGGCAATCTGTGCTAATGTACTCCGAAAACAAAACAAAAAACAATACTGTTATAAGGAACAGTAAGAATAATATAAAATAGGGAGGATGGCATAGACTTGGTTAAAGATCTGGGCGGGTAAGAACCAAGAGGAAAGAACCTACTGTAAGTTTCTTTGGATAAGCATCTTTTAATCACTTTTTGTTGTTGTTTGATGCCACAGACCCCCCAAATGTGACGATCCCCTTGCGAGGGAACCCCATAAAAAATAAATGCATCTATATAATTTAATGTTATAAAGATCTATTACTATAGCTGTAAAAGTGGAAAATACTTACTTTCCATTCATTTGATGATTCCCCCCCCAATTTTGACTGAAATGTTACATTTATAAATCTACAGAAACAGAAAATGATGGTTGTGAACGAATATTTGCAATCGATCAGACGATTTCCAACAAGACTTTTAAAAAGAAAAATTAAACAGTCATAATAATAAAAGAAATGTTACATTTTTACTTACTCTGTTTATTTATTTGTTTGTTTGTATAAAATTTATTTATGTTTATTTATTCATTATTTATTTATTTACTTAGTTAACTTTTACTTTATAAATAAATGTATTTATTTATTTTATTTTAGTTACTTATATCAACTGTATTTGTTTATTTATTCATTATTTACATTTATATTATAAATAAATTTATTTATTTATTTGTACTACATAATATTCATTTGCTTGTTAAATATTTATTTATTTTACATTTGTTTACACTATTTGTTTACACTATTTGTCACTTCTTCTTTTTTTTTGTGGAAGACCTAGTACCCCCTTGTGGCTGCCATTATCATAGCTGTTTTAGAAAAGTAACCGCACACCTCTCTTTAACAAGTCACACAATTTATAAAATCATTCAACTCTGACAAACAGTGCACAATGAGATGCATGCCAAATCTGAATATTTAGACTTAAGGGTTTTGTTGTTAATAGTAAAGCCAGCAGTACTAGTTAGTAATTTTAGAAATAAACTGTTCTCACCAAACACCTCTGGCTGCTTTGCTTTGGAAAAGTGGATGATGGTCTGATCCTAGAACCAGCAATGATACAAATTATTAAAACATTGTAATGAAATGCTTCACTAACATACAGATCATAATTGCACATTAAAAGTTTTACAGTTAAACTCTGCAGGAAGTTAGCAACAGGTATGACTCTGAAGTGAGACTAATGGGACTGAATGGGACGGTAGATCATACCGGGATCTGGAGCGTCAGGCTGGAGAGCCGGGAAATCATTGTCAAACATGAACGTGCTGTCATACTCAGGATTCACCTGCAATAAAACGGAGGAAAATATGAAAGGACTCTTCCTCAGGTTGACATAGTATCTGACTAGACAAGCTGCTTCCAGCCAAACGTATATATCTGAACAACGTGAAAAAGTGAATTCAACAGTGCATGTTCAACATCTTGTCTGAATGTAAAGTAGCCTGGCAACCTTCTGTATTTAATTAATCATTAAATAATAATGTCCAGGAATGAGAGAGTCAGCCAAGAACATTTGTCAGGCTTAAATAAACTGTGCCACTGAATATTCATCGCTGTATAACTCACACGGGCAGATGTACGTTCAAGGAAAGGATATCGCCGTATTTTTCTGCTTAGTCAGAGAACGCAGACGCATCGCTTTCCACAGAGAAGACGGTTTCATCCGTGTTCGTAAAAAAAGCTCCCATAATGCTGCAGGCTGAGCCAGAGGTGTCGACAGCTTATAACTATAAGCTCATGAATGTTTAAAATCCTGAAAATGGACCGTTTTACTACAATCTGATAACTTGATACTTGAAAATAGCGCATTTGTAAATGAATCGGAAATGGAACTGCAGTACAAAAAAAAATAAAGAATATATTCTTCCCCTTAATGAATTTAACTAAATGAAAGCCTTTATTTTGTTTTACAGGAATATTCTAGGTTCAATCTGGGTCCAAAACGTCAAGCTCTACTGACATCAGTGCATGTTAATATGTAGGACCGGATCGTTATCCTGGGACACCACGGGGTCTTATCACATGTTAAATGACAAAGGTGATTTGAAAAACTAATTAGGACACATAACATTAGGCAACTAGAAATAGTAGCATAATAGCAGCATTATTCCTTAGACAAGATTTAGGGAGTCAAAAATCACATTAACTGTTTTCTACAGCGGTAGCCTATGGGGCAAGACATTGCACCAGTGTTAAATATACATTAAGATTTGTAATGCTTTTTCTGAAAGAAGTCTCTATGACATTGCAAGGTTTTGACAAGGCTGCATTTATTTGATCAAAAAGAAAGACAAAAAAACATTAATTATGTGAAATATTATTACAATGTAAAATGTCTATTTTAATATATTTTAAAATGTAATTTATATCTGTGATCAAAGCTGAATTTTCAGCATCATTACTCCAGTCTTCAGTGTCACACGATCCTTCAGAAATCATTCTGATATGCTGATTTGCATATTATTATTGCACAAGGAGTCTGATAACAGCCAGTGCTCCACACAGAGATCTGATCTGATCATCATCCAGTCTGTCTGAGATTACATGAAGAAACACAACAAACTGAGACAGACTCAATCCAGAAGAACTGTGACAACGTCTCCAAGATGCTTCAAGAGACCGTCCTGCAAAGCTACCTGAAAAACTATGTGCAAGAGCACCGATGGCAAAAGCTGCTTTAAATGCAAAGGATGGTCACGCCAAATGTTGATTTAATTTAGTTAATAGAAGCCGCATCATGGATGCTGCACACTGCTGGTGGATGAGGAGATTCCTCCTTTCTATGTAAAGCGCTTTGAGTGCCCAGAAAAGCGATATATAAATGTAAGGAATTATTATTATGTTATTTTTGACAGCATCCTCATTTTACAGCATTTTTACACAAGTGCCTTTAACTTTGAACAGTACAGTAGCTTTGCAGGACGGTCTCTTGAAGCATCTTGGAGACACAGTTCTTCTGGATTGAGTCTGTCTCAGTTTGTTGTGTTTCTTCATGTAATCTCAGACAGACTGGATGATGATAAAATCAGATCTCTGTGTGGAGCACTGGCTGTTGTGCAAACAAAAATCTCACTGGATTATTACAATTAATGGCAAAATGAATGTTTGGAAATGTAAACTGATATTTCCTACTGACATATTACAGCAAAAGATAGAAATAACTGACTTAAAACCATTTTT